TCGAAGCTTTTTCTGAATCTAGATAAATGCTCTCAGATCTCTTATGGTAGGGGACGCAACACCTTATCCTCAAGTTACAATATTTCTAATTGCGTCCTAAAATGCGTTACTGAAATCAAAKATMTTRGGKTAATCTTTGACAACAGATTTTCTTTCAGTAGTCACATCAACTATATCACTTCTAAATCATTCTCTGTACTCGGGTTTGTCCGTCGCAATTCTTTAAATTTTTCCGACCCCTACATGTTAAAATTACTGTATACATGTTTTGTTCGGTCCATTTTGTTGTATGCAGTGTTCATCTGGAAACCATATTGCATATCGCCAATTAATAAGAAAATATTTTCTTAAATTTGCTCTAAGCTTCGTGTTCGTTGACCCAATACCATCGTATACACCTCGTTTATTGCTTTTACATCTTAAACTACTGGAAAATCGACGGTCCGTTCCCTGCCCTTCATTTGTTTTCAATGTTATTAATGGAGGTATTGACTGTTCCTACTTATTAGGGAAAATTATCTTCAATAATCCTCAACGTTGTCTCAGATCTATTTCCTCATTTTATTATAAAAAGGAAAGTACTAACTTTGCTGAATATGCTATCCTTCATTAATACCCTCAATTCTGTTTTTTAGTTTAAGTTATATTTATATGTAATTGTAATTTACTTATTTTAGAATTCTAATTTGCATCCTAATTCTCCATTAGCCTGTAAGAATTAATGTTCATAGACTTAACTAAATAAATAAATACAAAAGTTTTATATCGTCAGCAAATAATAAAACTTTTGAAAACTTAACAACAGATGATATGTCATTAATAAATAACAAGAACTGGTTTACTTTATCAAAAGCTTTATTAAAATCTGTGTATACGAATATAACATCAGTATTCTTATTCTCCCTAAAGCCCGTTTATACATGTGACACAAATTCAAGCAAATAGATTTCCTTTTACGAAAACCGTGCTTATAACGAGAAATTAGTGGAATCAGGAAGGTTATGTCGTCTGTTATAATTGCTTCAAAAAGTTTAGGTATTGCTGACAACTTTGCTATTCCCCTATAGTTCTCAACGAAATCCACTCTTATGTAAAAGAATTATAAATGACTTTTTCCATACGGATGGAAATAAGCGTTGCATAAGAGATGAATTAAATGGTTTTGTTAGGGATGAATTAAATAATATATATATTTGGCACATTTCGTAAGAAATCATGAGGGAATCATATCTGGGTCATAATTGTATGATTGTTCTAACATATTCAACTGATATAAGACGTCTGCTGCGGAAATGATAGGTGCATTAATGACAGAAATCGGACATAACTTGTGCTGATGCGGACCATTTTTTGGAGATTTTGGAGAGTAATTGGACTTGAAGAATTCAGCGAACATATTAGAAATGGTGTGATTGTCACTACACATACTTCATAAGTTCAACAAATTGTCAGCGCAATTTAGAATATTTTAAATAGTCAGCAACAAAACCAGTGTTTTTTTTTTTTTTTTTAAAGCTCGAGATTTTCCACTCTTTAATTTACATAATTCTTTCAAAAACCATAAGTTAGAGCTAATTTTATGAGTAACGACACACTTCGGAACATATTTTTCAAATAAGATTAAAATAGTTTCATTAAAGTGGGAAGTACAAAATTCAATATTGCCACTGTAATCTGGCCAAGTTACTTTAGTAAGTTCGTAATTTATCTTCTTAGAATTAGCTTTCGCAAAGTTAAAACAAAAGGTCTTGTGTATTATTATGAGCAAAGTTGGCTATGATTTCGATGTTAATTTCCGAAGCAGGATGATACGAGTCCTCTGGCCGAACCAAGGGACCACATGGAAAAACAGAGAACATTGAAACGTTATCAACGTAAACTAGATCTAAGAACTTACCAAACTCGTTTGAAATTAGATTAATTTGGTTAAGACCCAACTCCGATATTTCATCTAGGAATTCGTTAAAACATAGGCGAGTACTAATAGGAATGGTGTAGTCATCAATAGATTTCCATGATACGCACGGTAAATTGAAATCTTCCAAAATAATCATGGAAGTATGCTGCATTTATACTTATATGTCCGAGTGAAGCTGTATATAAGATAAGGTTAAGTAGATATGGCCACTATTAGCGCAAATACGAGTCCACATAAATTCTATGAAGTCTGCATGCGGAACATCGACTTCTTCAGATGGAATTGAAGAATGAACAGCAAACAAGACGCCACCCCCTTTTCTGTTCAGCCTTTCATATCTAAAGATTTCGAATTCGCTGTTTAATATTTTATTATCAAAAATGTGGGGCTTTAGCCAAGTTTCTGAGAAAGCAATGATTTTAAAGTTACAATGAATGCTATTTAAATACAAATCAGTAATTTTTGTATTAATATCCCTTACATTTTGATAATAAATAATCAGCGAATTATTGTTATTATCCGAAGCAATCTTGAGATAAAAATTTTTAAGCGGTATTACAACTAAGTTTGTATTAGTTGACTTAGGTTGATGAGATTAATAGTGGGTGGGTTCATTCTTTTTAAGGAAGATGCAGTGGTATCTTCATCAGACGGACGTTTATGTTTAGATGAAGGTTGTGGATTCTCTTCTTGCACATTTAGGCATTGAAATAATTGAAACAAGGTTTCATAATGCTAAAAATTTTCAGTAAGTGTTTCAAGCTCACGACCAATCTCCTTGACACCATTGCGCGACTACCTAAAAACTTTAGACAATTAAATTTCTGTTGGTCTGCATTTTAAGCAAAACCTGCGCATGCCCTTACTATCAAGAATAGAATCCAATATCCTACCTGTCAGTCCAGCACACTTGAGATGGGCAAACCCGTCACAAAGCCAGCAAGAAACAACGCGTTCCGACTCGCCTTTCACAGAGAAGTTCGGGAAATTACAAGTCATAATGAACAAAAACAATATTAAATAAAAATATAAAAAATGTTAAATAATAAACATAAAAAAGCAATAAAAAAATATTTATAACAAATAAATGTAATAAAAATTGTTGGTTATCAAAGATAACAATGTAGCGAGTATTTTGAGATGCACTGTAACACACGAAAAGTAAGAAACTTGCAAACGGCTGTGGACAAAGATGGAAACGAAAAAAAAACAAGAAAGACAATTAAGTAAGCAATATAAATTAACACTAACAATTGCACTATTTAAAATGTAGCACAAAAAAAAAAATTGAAAATGACTCGGTGGAATAAATTAAAATTAGACAGCACGCAATTAAAGTAAATTTCAATTGCTTTAATAGAACAATAAAACTTAAAGGATCACTTCATTCCGATAATTTCACCCCAAAATTTTAAATCTATATATGTAAAAGGAAGAGGTGTAGTTACACCATTTATAACTCAAGAACGCCTGAACGGATTTGGGTGGAAATTGGTGGGGAGGTAGTGCAGAACCAGGGTAAGGATATGGGCTACTTTTCATTTCTTTATATTAGAATCCAATACCATGGATAATATGATACGAAACTCTTTGATTCGAGACAGAGCTGTCAAAACTAGCATTTTTTTTATAACATTTACCAATGATGTCACTGCTGAAAAATATTAGATTGCTTATTTAATAAATTATACAAAACACTAAATTAAACACTTCGAAAATGCATACATATGTAAATACTAAAATGCAAAATCATTAATTAATTTACATAAACATTTATTTTGCCAAAATATGTTCGCACAGTTTAATGAAATTTCATTTCACACTAATTTCCTCAGGTAATTTTAGCGGTTTACTTCTGGCATCCCGACTTTTCTGAAATCAACTGTCAGAAATTCCCTGATCTCCATCGCTGTCAAATAATCAGGACACGCCTTGAGAGAAAAAGAGAGCCAATGCTAAAGTCTCGTATCATATTATCCATGCCAATACAACTCATAAAAACAAAATTATATTTCAAAGTATAAGTAATCATTTGAGAATTAAATTTCTTCAAAAAAATAAAAAAATAACAAAAACAGTAAAGAAAAATATCACATCTACAAATATAAGAGTAGATGTCGTGTTAGTTACAAAATTTATAACTCAACAACGGCTGAACCGATTTGGTTGAAAATTGGTGGGGCAAGGACATAAATACCTTTTATCTTTTATGTCAAAATGTATTACAACTCACAAATACAAAAATTATATTTTAAATCATAAGCATTTGTTCAAAATTCATGTTTGTAGGAATCATTTGAATATATGAGTACAATTTTAAACAGATTCTTTTAAAAACAATACAATTGCTAAGTATTTGGAATAGTAGAAAAGAACTGCAACCAAATACGTAGTGAAATAAATTGTACCTGGCTCAGTAACCAATCGGTGAGGATGTATTATATCACGTGCATCCCAAAAGACTGATGTCTTAACCTTTCCAGCCGACTTTTTCGTGTTTCTCCGGCTGAGAACCGGTTCCTCATGTGCAGTCCACTAGAATGACTGTCGATTGGACTCCAGTGGGAAATTGTGGAGCTATTGTCAAACACCCACGCAAAATTCGGTTTTATTACGATTACAGAGCACTCAAACACTTCTCAGAATCAGTTATTCGTTGTTTTCGTTAGATTGTGAACTTGCGCGGCCCCACTTTACACAGAGCTTTCGCCTCTTTAAGCTTAGCAAATATTCACAAATATTTTCATCGGTGGATTTCTCTGAGCCCAAATTCAGCAGTATTTTCCCCTAAAAAGCAATGCTTTATTAACAGAGGAACAGCTTTATGATCCATTTTTTTGTAAACTGAGACTAGTTGCTTCACAAAAATTCTATATCTCATTAACTAATAATTATAATCCAACTAATAGAAATCATATAGATGGTAGTAGTAGTATTATTTATGTATTAGCCACAGCGAAGCGTGGATGGGTACTCTAGTACATTTATAAATAAATAAAAAATTAAATAAAAAACGTAAATTTTTTTTTAAATAAATAGACTTATTTGCTTCAACAAAAGTTAAAAAAAAATTGTACTAGTAAAAAAAACAAATTTTTACAAAAATAAAAAGTTCTTAAAAACTAAACACAGAAATATATATAGTAGCCTCCGTAGTTATAATCCAACCAATAGAAATCATATAGATGGTAGTTGTAGCATTATCTATATATCAGCCACAGTGAAGCTTGGATGCGTCCTCTAGTATTATATAAATTAAACAAATTTCTAAGAGCACGAAAGCACAGCTGTGCACGAGAAAAGTTGCCATATTTCATTAATCCGAAAATTTCAAACTTTTTTCAATAAGCGGTGACAATCTGGACCATTTTGATGAAAATAATTATTTAAAAGTTATTACAATATAGGTAAATTTATCAAAATTCAATCAATCCACAGTGTGGAAGTATGTGTATACTGTATGAGTGAAATGAAATGAAGAGCTGTGTTTAGCAAAAAATTTAAGTCGTTTTAATTAAAGGTGAAAAACTTACCCTTGAGTCGTGTAAACAAACAAATTTGATGGTTTTCTAAATCTGGAACATGCATCATATAATTGATGGTGAGAGAAGCACGGTGACGCAGCGATGTTTGACCTGAAAACAGTAAGTTTTTAATTTCATCCCAGTTTGGATTACACGTCAATATGATAAAAAGATCTGGTCAACCGTATGCACGTACGTAAGTCATATCACCTTGAATGTATTCTTGCATTACATATACACAAATCACAATTACCATACTCGTAAATAGTCACGGGAGACTACACCAACAAACAACAAAGAGAGAGACAGCAAATCAACAGGGACAGCGCTGGACATACATACATAAGAAAAAATAATAATAATAATAACTGAAAGAAAGAGAGAAAGAGTAAAGGTTCAATGACCTAAAACCCTTGGCGGAAATAAAAGTGAGTCCGTTCCATATTTACTTTGATATAAGTATAAAAATATATAAATAAAATTTTTATGCACATATATATGTATGTATGTTAAGGAAGAGAAAAAATAATAACTGCAAAAAGTACAGTACCCGCCTTTTGCTTAGCTTGTGTCGTTAGGCACCCCATTATAATTTAAAAAAAAAAAATTTTTTTTCCTTAAGTCAAGTATAACTTGTGATAATTCTTGCGATACCTCTTGGGCTATAAATAAAAGCAACAAGCAGGATCGCTCAAACCCTAAGCAAAAGCAGAAGATACGAAAAGAAAAGGAAATAGACACATACATACATAAAAAAGAAAACATACATATATATAAGCATATTCCCCTAAAATTTCAATTCTTCCATTTAATATACATATGTACATATTTATATGCATACACAATCATATGGTACATACATAACCTAACTTAGCATAAAGCTATAGCACATAATAATACTAAATTACCTGCTTGGATGTTCAAATCGCTTAGAACACTCAAGCATAGGTAGGTAATAAAAAAAAGGGGAAAAAAGAAGGCATTACAATACCATTACAGTACCTATGTGCCAGTATGCATCTCTCGTGCGACATACATATGTCCATTTATACATACATACTACTATTCAACTCATATACATACATAATTACATAAATATATAAACATATGTATATTATTTATTTCCATTTTTTCGCGGGTTTATAAATTTATGTGCGATTAGCAAAT